TATTATTATTATTATTATTATTATTATTATTATTATTATTATTATATCAGGGATTGAGCCTGGAGATGCTTAAACTCTGAACTACATTCTCAGCCCTTCTTATATTTTATTGAGAGGCAGGTTCTTGCTCAGTTGCATAAGGACTCAGTTGCTGAGTCTGGCCCTGAACTCGAGACCCTTCTGTCCGAGCCTCATGAGCTTGTGGGGATTCCTTAGTATCTACCATTCACAGATATAAGCTCATGAGCTGCTTTAATCTTAAGACTTTGCTTTTCAGGGGATAGTGTGTTTCCGAACATGAAAACACACATTAAATCTCAGTCATTACATATGGGAGAGGCTTGGATGAAAGGAAATACGTGTGTTGTCCAGGAAAATACTCTGCCAGTAAGTCAATACAAAATGTTCTGGAATACGAGGTGGGGTGGGGCTCAGTGGTAGAGAACTTACCTGCCAGGTATGTGGTCCCAGACTTCATCCTCAGCATTGCAAGAAAAAAAAAATCCAGTATCAATTTTATACATGGACCTCTTGAATCCAGAGAAATGCCCATTCTCTCTGGAAAGGAGGAAACCCTGGACTCTGAGAGGACTCAGACTTCCAGGTTAGGTTGGATCCTTATTCTTAATTATTACCTTAAAATGCAGTGAACCTGGAACCATGTGAATTATGGTTCTGTGGACCCCAGAGATTCCATATATTAAACTAGAAAAAAAATATCCAAGTGTGTTCTTGCTTAATATTTAATAACTGGACTTGGCTCACATAGGCCAATTTCTGATAAGAAAAATATTAAAATTATGCAGCTGTATAGTGGGATGCAAATAGTCCTAAAATTCCATCACCTGTCTCTGGACAGAGATTGCCAACAGACTCAAATATTCTGGTAATTTTTTAGCCTCTCTGAGTGGGTGATAGAAGTGATCCAATATTAACAGAACTCTGTGAAGTCTACCAAGTGACACGGATGAGCATCCATTGTGAAAAACAGAGCCATTCCACAGGGACCACTGGTGGCAGGAAGCCCTCCCAGATTTGCACACTTGCAGCCACTCGATCTCCAGGAATCACACAATGAGTCTGGCTGCCGTTTACAGGTGACAGGAACTCAGGCTCCTCGGCTTCTCAAGGTCAGATACTCACCCTTTAAATGGCAGATCTTATTGATCCTTTCAAGCCATCTGACTTCAAAGTGTGCAATTCTTCGTATTCTCTGGGAGAATGTGCTAAGAAAATCACCTGTGTTCCTAAACCAACCAGAATGAAGGCAACAGAAAGCTAATGTGAATCTGGGTCGTCCAAGAGACTGACTCTCTTTGCTTTGGAGGATCTTCTTTCCAATACAACATATATGATTTTAATTTACCAAATATTGTACAGTTTAGTGTATGTGCCATATTCCTGGATGAGGATGGATAGCAACAGAACAAGAAATCTCCCTTGCAGTAAGATATCCCCATGAAAAACTCAAGGTAATCCCAAGGAACGATTTCTAGGATATATGGTCATTTTTTTAATGTCTAAAGGAAAGTTCAGTAGTTTGCATCAAATAGAATCCAGGTATGGTTGCACAATGAAGGGAAAAGAGAGGAGGAATGGCTTCCAGAGGCTGCTATGGAAATTTACATATTGGTGGGAGAAAGGGACATTGGGAATCCAGAAATTTTCCTAGTAGCAACAGTATTGGCTGACATGGATGAATTTTAATACTTATGATAATGAATTTCTTCCTTTTCTCCTAAGGCATGTACTCCATGAGCCTTGCCCCCAAAGATGGAAAAACACCCCAAGCTGAATGGTGTTGCTAACCTAAGAAGCACCTTTTACTCTGAAGTGGGAATTGGGATCGTGGCCAACACCCTCCTCTTTCTGTTCCACGTCATCAAGTTCCTCTATGACAAGAGGCTCAAGAGCACAGACTGGATTGTTGGTCTCTTGGCCCTGACCCACCTACTGATGCTGCTCACCATAGGGTTCCTAGCTGCAGACACTTTGTCACCTCAACAGGGACTTTGGGGTGACATCAGATGCAAATCAGTCACCAACTGGTACAGGTTGATGAGGGGCCTGTACATTTCTGCCACCTGCCTGCTGAGTGTCCTGCAGGCTATCACCCTCAGTCCCAGAAGCTCCCCTTTGGCAAAGTTCAAGCCTAAGTCCCCACAGGACAGCATGAGGTCCCTTCTCTTCCTGTGGGTCTTCTATATGTCCTTCAGCACCCACTTCTCCATCTCTGTGGTTGATGACTCCAATGGGACGTCACCCAATCTAATGTTTCTCAGTGACTCCTGCACAATATTACACAGGAGCTACTTCCTCAGGCATTTATTTACTGCCCTGGGTGCATTTTGGGACATCGTCCTTATAGGGCTCATGGCCCTCTCCAGTGGGTACATGGTGATCCCCCTGTGTAGGCATAAAAGGCAGTGCCAACACCTCCACACCACCAGACTGTCTCCAAAAGCCTCCCCAGAACAGAGGGCCACTAGGACCATCCTGCTTCTCCTGGGTTTCTTCATACTCATATACCTTTTGGACTGTGTTGTCTCCTCCTTAAGAACCATGTGGAAAAACGACCCTGTTTGTTGCTGTATCCAGATGATAGTGGCCAATGGCTATGCAACCATCAGTCCTTTGGTTTTCATCTGTACTGAAAAACAAAGTGTCACCTTTTTGAAAGGCTTGTGGGGAAAGAATCGTCAATGCTTAATCATTGCATGATGGATCAGTCCCCTGCATGAGCCACCACCCAGCTTTGTCCCAATGAACCATGGAGTGGTTGGTGCGTGTACTCTCTGTGTTGAAGGAGTACAGGAAATGGGGTATTTTATTTCAAAAATTTTTTAAAAAATATTTATTTTTTAGTTTTAGGTGGACACAATATCTGGATTTTATTTTTACTTGGTGTCAACCCCAAGTTGACAGCTTTTGGGATGGGAGTTCCCCAGACTTTTTGACTAACAAAGTAATAAATCTTTTTTTTTCCTTTTTGTTAAATAAAAAAGAAAGCAAGAAATTTCTATGTCTATCAGGATGTATTTTTTTCTGCTTTTGTGGAAAAAAAAATAGGTGGGATTTTGATAGGGATGGTTGATGACTTTGCATGGAGTTGGATTCTTAGCAATAGTAATTCTTCCAACTGATGGACCCAGGGGTGAAGGATCAGGAGAGCCAGCAGGTAGTTTTTAAATGTTTAATGTCATTATTCATTGGGGAAATGCAAATCATTGTGACAGTGACCTGTTCCCCGGTCCCCAGTTGAATAGTGAGTTAGCCACAAAAATGCAAAATTAAATGCTGGTGAGGATGTGGAGGAAAAAAACTCATTTATTGTGGCAATGTAAATTAGTACAATAATAATAAAGATCAGTGTGGAGGCTTCTCAAGAAACATAAATATATCCACTGAATGATCCAGATATCCCACATCCAGAGGAAATAAAATCCACACCAGAGTGATTCTGTGTTGAGCAGGATCAGGAGGTGGGTTAGGGCCAAGAGACCAATGATCCAGTCCATGTCCTTGAGCCTCTTGTCACACAGGAACTTGATGATGTGGAACAGAAAGAGGATGTTGTTGGCCAAGATCCCAATCCCAACTTCAGAGTAAAAGGTGCTTCTTAAGTTAATAACACTATGTACCATGTGTTTTTTTCTCATCCTTTGGGGTAAGGAATCATGAAGTACATGCCTTAGGGAGAAAAGTAAGAAAACCCATTATCACAAATATTAAATTTCATCCAATTCAGCCAACAATATTGCCAGGAGGCAAATTTGTTGGCCTATCCCAATGCCCCCTTTCCCCTCTAACTGAAGTTTTGCTGACACTCCCTGGAAACCATTCTTTTACTCTCTCTTTTCCCATCATTTCCCAATCAAGGCTGGATTACATTTTATGCAAAGTACAAAAGGATTTCCTGAGCATTAAAAATGATCACATCTGTCATATATTTCTTATTCACAAGCTCCAATGTTATAGAAAATCTTTCCCTGACACAACCTTGAATCTTTCTTGGTGATATCTGACTGCAAGGGTGAAGTATGTGATCTTCCTGTAGAAAGGACTATGTACTTTTGGGTCAATTGAAATTATGGAGGTTTAATTAGAAAGAAAACCCTCCTAAGCAAAGATTCTCAATGTCTTAGGCCATGCATATTTACGTTAGCTTCCTGTTACCTTTATTCTGGTTTGTTCATGAACACATGCATTTTGTTCATGTATTCACAGAGAAAATGCTAAGTATTGCAACCTCTGAAGTCAGATGGCTTGAATATACCCATATAATCTTCCACTTAAGTGTAAGTATTCAATT